CCACTCGATTGACCAGACACTCACCACTCCACTCACCACTCCACTCACCACTCTACTCACCACTCTACTCACCACTCCACTCACCACTCCACTCACCACTCCACTCACTAGACACTCACCACTCACCACTCCACTCACCACTCCACTCACCACTCACTCACCACTCACTCACCACTACACTCACCAGACACTCACGGGACAGAGGCAGCAACAGCAGCGAGGCTAAGCCCAGTAGGGGGCGCATCGCCCACTGCGGTCAGCAGTGGGATTGGGGGCCGTCCATAAATGACGTCACGCGATTTTGGACCCCCCCCCCTCGTCACACGGCGTCACAAAAAGTCAGACCCCCCCCCTCAAATATGACGTCACAAAGCTCTGCCCCCCCCCCCCCAAACCATATTTCCATTTTGAAAATAAAACATGTTTCAAATCGCTATGAACTATTGTCATTGTAGTGCGTATTTAATGTGGCGCTGCACTCTGATGTTGTAGGAGAAAACATTTATTAAAAAGTATATTTAATTAAGCAGAACGTGTTAGTCTATATTTATTTAAAGTTGCGCATTTTGATGTGACGTCACATTTCTAAACCCCCCCCCGCCCCCCCTCGTCACACATCGTCACAAATGTCTGACCCCCCCCCTAGGTGCGTGACGTCATTTATGGACGGCCCCTTGTGTGTGTGTGGGGGGGGGGGGGGTGTCAGGTTTTTGTTTCTCTCTAAACTTATGTCAAAGGTCATCTACCGATCTACCGATCACCGATTATTAAATGTGTCAATGTCCGTTGAGCTTCTCTCTCGCACCGTCCGTTGAGCCAACTGCGCTAATCGGAATGGCCGATGTCACAGGCTTCCTGGTGGGTCGTCGAGCCCCCTGGTTAGGAGCCGCCGAAACGGAATCACAGTGTTCGTTGCATTGGCCCGCGGACGTCTCATGCGGTGGCAACTTTATACGGTGGGCGAGCTCGCAGCGGAAGCAATTGGGGGGTCCTAAACATCACACGTGGGTCGGGGTGTGGTGCAAATTTTTGAAGGTAATTGTTGTTTTAAACAATTGTGGGAGATTTATGGAACGAATCGGTTGTCTGACACGCGCACGTCAAACCAAATGCGCCATCGGCACCCCGACGCGCGTGAACTGTGAGGTGGTCTCAGCAGGCACGACACCAGCGTGGTACGTTCAGGGGCATGGTTCCTGCCAGGTCGAGATCTGGTGGACACGTCACTTCTGTCTGAGTCACAGTTGCTGATTGGCTGAACGCAATGCCCAAGATGCCCAAGCGAGCGATACAATTCGCGAGTGGATCACACGGACGGACAAACTCCCAACATCTTTCAAAATGAATGGAACTTGGCACGGGTAGATTGCAACATCGCAAGTCCCCGGTTTCACGATGGCGATGATGCTGATGATGAAGGTACGGATAGTGGTGATGATTATGATGGTGGTGATGATGATGAAGGTACGGATAGTGGTGATGATGGTGGTGATGATTATGATGGTGGTGGTGATGATGAAGGTACGGATAGTGGTGATGATGGTGGTGATGATTATGATGGTGGTGATGATGATGAAGGTACGGATAGTGGTGATGATGGTGGTGATGATTATGATGGTGGTGATGATGATGAAGGTACGGATAGTGGTGATGATGATGGTGATGATTATGATGGTGGTGGTGATGATGAAGGTACGGATAGTGGTGATGATGGTGGTGATGATTATGATGGTGGTGATGATGATGAAGGTACGGATAGTGGTGATGATGGTGGTGATGATTTTGATGGTGGTGATGATGATGAAGGTACGGATAGTGGTGATGATGGTGGTGATGATTATGATGGTGGTGGTGATGATGAAGGTACGGATAGTGGTGATGATGGTGGTGATGATTATGATGGTGGTGATGATGATGAAGGTACGGATAGTGGTGATGATGGTGGTGATGATTATGATGGTGGTGGTGATGATGAAGGTACGGATAGTGGTGATGATGGTGGTGATGATTATGATGGTGGTGATGATGATGAAGGTACGGATAGTGGTGATGATGGTGGTGATGATTATGATGGTGGTGGTGGTGATGAAGGTACGGATAGTGGTGATGATTATGATGGTGGTGATGATGATGGTGGTGGTGATGATGAAGGTACGGATAGTGGTGATGATGGTGGTGATGATTATGATGGTGGTGATGATGATGATGAAGGTACGGATAGTGGTGATGATGGTGGTGATGATTATGATGGTGGTGGTGATGATGCCGAACTTTATAAATACAGTAACAGCGATCATCATATTGATGATGAAGCTGCAGGTGATTACTAATCTATTATATCATTACAATACCCCCCCTCCACCTGACCTCTGCACCTGGTGGGTTCACTGATGACGTCATCCTGCTGCTGCTGCTGCTCTATGTAAGACCTGAAGCAGGTGGATGGCGTCACGATTCTGGCAAATCGCGCGATGATGCTGTTTGACGTCATTACCAGCGACACGTCACGCTACTCAAATTGTAAATGTTGTGGATTTACTCTCCAACACACCGGTGGGCTGGAAGTAGTGGTGACTAATTGTTTGCGTGACAAACCTTACTGGCCGTGCCGGGTGGTGGAGGGTTACGACACATTTATACTTACGCGATCTAACCCCAAAAGCCCTCTATTATGAATAATATTGGTCGTGAAAGCCTAAGTGTTAAACCGATGCAGGTGATGTTCAAGAGAATGCGTATTGGCTTCTTTAAAATTATGATATTCATGGCGGTTGGTGATGAAAGTGCAGATGATGGAGGCGATGATGATCATGAGATGATGATGATGATACTGATTTTGATAATTGGTTCTTTACCCTTCTATCTGGCAACAAAACTGACACCTTTTGCAAGGAGTCATGTTTGCATAGACCGCAATACCTGCAGTCATAATACAAACAAAAGAACATAACTCTGATAATGTGCACTGTCCTTGAAGTTGATTGGTCCACACCCGAGACAGCTTTCCTTCGAGCCTAGTCTCATATGGGTTGGACCAGATGACGCCAAAAGGCGCACAACTCAAGGACAATGCACCATCAGAGTATGAGAGCTCGGGGCAAGCATCTACACTATGGGGACCTCATTTGCCAGTAAAAATATGATAATTGGTTCTTTACCCTTCTATCTGGCAACAAAACTGACACCTTTTTGCAAGGAGTCATGTTTGCATAGACCGCAATACCTGCAGTCATAATACAAACAAAAGAACATAACTCTGATAATGTGCACTGTCCTTGAAGTTGATTGGTCCACACCCGAGACAGCTTTCCTTCGAGCCTAGTCTCATATGGGTTGGACCAGATGACGCCAAAAGGCGCACAACTCAAGGACAATGCACCATCAGAGTATGAGAGCTCGGGGCAAGCATCTACACTATGGGGACCTCATTTGCCAGTAAAAATATGATCATTGGTTCTTTACCCTTCTATCTGGCAACAAAACTGACACCTTTTTGCAAGGAGTCATGTTTGCATAGACCGCAATACCTGCAGTCATAATACAAACAAAAGAACATAACTCTGATAATGTGCACTGTCCTTGAAGTTGATTGGTCCACACCCGAGACAGCTTTCCTTCGAGCCTAGTCTCATATGGGTTGGACCAGATGACGCCAAAAGGCGCACAACAAACTGACAGTCAGTTTTGTTGCCAGATAGAAGGGTAAAGAACCAATTATCATATTTTTACTGGCAAATGAGGTCCCCATAGTGTAGATGCTTGCCCCGAGCTCTCATACTCTGATGGTGCATTGTCCTTGAGTTGTGCGCCTTTTGGCGTCATCTGGTCCAACCCATATGAGATTAGGCTCGAAGGAAAGCTGTCTCGGGTGTGGACCAATCAACTTCAAGGACAGTGCACATTATCAGAGTTATGTTTTTTTGTTTGTATTATGACTGCAGGTATTGCGGTCTATGCAAACATGACTCCTTGCAAAAAGGTGTCAGTTTTGTTGCCAGATAGAAGGGTAAAGAACCAATTATCATATTTTTACTGGCAAATGAGGTCCCCATAGTGTAGATGCTTGCCCCGAGCTCTCATACTCTGATGGTGCATTGTCCTTGAGTTGTGCGCCTTTTGGCGTCATCTGGTCCAACCCATATGAGACTAGGCTCGAAGGAAAGCTGTCTCGGGTGTGGATCAATCAACTTCAAGGACAGTGCACATTATCAGAGTTATGTTCTTTTGTTTGTATTATGACTGCAGGTATTGCGGTCTATGCAAACATGACTCCTTGCAAAAAGGTGTCAGTTTTGTTGCCAGATAGAAGGGTAAAGAACCAATGATCATATTTTTACTGGCAAATGAGGTCCCCATAGTGATACTGATTTTCATAATAACCGTCATGGTGGTATTGGTGCTTCTGGTGGTGGTGGTCGTGGCAATGCTGATGATGGTAGCGGTGGTGCTAGCGCCGGTGTCACTGTAGTGGTGGCGGTGCCGATGAAGATGATGATGATGATCATGAGATGATGATGATGCTGATCTTCATAATAACCGTCATGGTGGTGGTGGTGCTTCTGGTGGTGGTGGTCGTGGCAATGCTGATGATGGTAGCGGTGGTGGTGATGCCGGTATCACTGTAGTGGTGGCGGTGCCGATGAAGATGATGATGATCATGAAGATGCACCATGATGATAATGACGCGAGTGGTTGATGACTGCTGACGATGACAATGATGATGATGACGATGACAATGATGAGGACGATGACAATGATGATGCTGACGATGACAATAATGAAGATGACGATGACAATAATGAAGATGACGATGACAATGATGATGATGACAATGATGATGATGATGATGACGATGACAATGATGATGATGACAATGATGATGATGACGATGGTGACGATGACAATAATGAAGATGATGATGATGACGATGACAATGATGATGATGACGATGACAATGACGATGATGACGACGATGACGTGTCACGCTGTCTAGCCCGCACCTTGCCTCTCCGTGCTGGGTCCCACGCGTGGACTCAGCCTCATGAGCTCCTCCGCCGTGTGAATGTCCAACCACTGCTGGAACTCCACGTGCATCTGAAAGTGCAGCGGAGTGGCTTCTCCTTACACGCAGACACAGCGGCAGCGGTGGTGTTGATGATGGTTTTATTTGTTTTAACAGATGTCCACTCGGCTAGGACAGGGGGTCGGCAAACCATTGTGGCTCTTTACAATAAAGATAATTTTTTTGCCGAATTCCCCCCCCCCCCTAAAAAAAGTCTCCTCTTGATAATAGGTTTTCCCCCTTTTTCTGGCAACAAAACAGTTGTGTTAAGATGTTAAAACACCCAACTGAAGCCTTTTTACAAGGAATCATGTCTGCATTAACCGCAATGCTTGTGGTCAGAATGCAAACAAAAACATACTCTAATAATATATGCATTGTCCTTGAAACGGATTGGTCCACACCAGAGACAGCTTTCTTTTGAGCCTCGTCTCATTCCAGGTGGAATCCCTCCCTTGGCTGCCACTGCATCGTTAGATGTAGTCATGTGGTCAATGTGTTGGCTGTGCCACCCACATCATCATGCGTGTCGCATGCAGGCCTTAATAGATGCTCACCAACAGCACTGTCGAGGCTTTGAAGGTATTGCGTGTGTGTGTGTGTACGTGTCTGTGTGTGTACGTGTCTGTGTGTGTGTACGTGTCTGTGGGGAGTGGTAGTGTAGCGGTTAGCGCACTGCGCTATGAACCTGGCGACCCGGGTTCGATTCCCGCTCAGGGCCAACACCCAGTGACAATTATTTGAACCGGTCCTGGGCCTCCCCTAGGTCGACTCAGCCTAAAATGAGTACCTGGTGTGGTGTGTAAATATTGCCACTAGGGAGACAAAGGCGGCCGGGCGTGGTGCTGGCCACCAACCCCCTCGCGTGCCGTGCCGGCCTTCATAGGTGTTCGCTAAACAGCACTTGGCCCAACAGTTTGTTCAGGCTACATGGGGGATCTTTGTCTTTGTGCGTATAATTACATGTCCCATCTGCACGTGGGTGTCCCACAGCGTCTGCGCGTAGGTCTGAAGGAAGGACCTCATCTGCGTGACGTGCGACTTTTCCAGTGTGTGGAACTTCTGGTCAGCGGGGACAGGGAATCATGGAGACAGAATCATGGAGACATGAGACACGGAATTATGGAGACACAGAATCATGGGGACTCTAGTCATGGAGACGCAGAGATACGGAGACAGACACATGGAGACACAGATACAGAGATACAAGTACTTTAGAAACATGGAAATATGGACACATTCGGAAGCCATGAGCCACCACACAGTTTCATAATGAACACAATCTGATCATCTGCATTACTATTACAACAGTGGGTGGGATGGATGAGTGTGTTGTTGTGATCGGCAGTGTCGTGGTGGCTGAACACAGTGCAGAGATATAAATAATAATAATAATTCCAACTTGTAACGAGGAGGTAGCGCAGGCAAGCAGGAAGGCAGAAGCCACACGGTGAGCGAGCCCGAACAATCGCCCAAGCTCTGGAGTCCTCTGTATATATCAATATGGTTTTCGGACAATTATTGAGTGTTTACATGTGGAAGCAAACCGGAGGGCCCGGAGAAAACCCGCTCGTGCGAGGGGGAAACACTCTATCCCACCCAGACGGAACAGGTGGACTCAACATTATTCTTCTTGGTTCTTTCGGTAAAGTCACGTAGAAGGGAAATAATAAAATAATAAAAATAAAACATAAAAAAATTCTTTAAATTTATTTTATTATTTTATTATTTCCCTTCTACGTGACTTTACCGAAAGAACCAAGAATATGAATCCCTGCAGTCACAAAAGCTTTAAATCCAAATTTAACTCCACATCATTGCCGTACCGCGAGCTCAGCTCGTCCACGATGTCCCACCCAGCGGTCACGTGAAATGCATCGAGTCATCGTCGGTGTGCTGTGCGTGCTGTGCGTGCTGTGCGTGCGTGCTGTGCGTGCTATGCGTGCTGTGTGTGTACTGTGTGTGTACTGTGTGCGTGCTGTGTGTGCGTGCTGTGCGTGCTGTGTGTGTGTACTGTGTGCGTGCTGTGCGTGGTTACGTGGCGCGGGGGGGGGGCACGTTCATGGGGTCCCCGTCGCGCCGCACCTGTGCCGTGGAGGCGACCCGCTGCTCGAACGCGGCCCGGAGCGCGCGGTAGTGCTCGAGACGGCGCCGGTAATCCTCGCCCGACTTCTTGCACTTGCTCTCGGCCTGCGACGCGCAGAGAGAGAGAGACAGAGATGTATGGGGGTAAGTTTGGAACAATCGTAGCACGCGCTCGGATTCTGCGGTAACGCTTTCGAATGTACGTACGTATGTTGCACTTCGTTCGCACCAGACCAAAACCCCAAAATCAGTTTTAAAGAAATTAGTTTCGTCATCTGGATGATGATGATTTAAAAGTGCGTTGCTCCGGCGGCTCCCTATTATTGGAAGGAGGCGCGTTCCAGACGGCCCGCGGAAGCGCGTCCGTGCAGCCCGCGACGCGGCGACCGCCGTCGTTCGAGGCGGCCAGCCGAAGCGCGCGTCCTGTCCGCTGAAGTGTCGGATCATCGACGGCCGAGCGGCAGGGTGGAGGTGGCGCAGAGACGGTGGGGGGCTCTGCCCCCCCGGGTGGCGACCGCTGTCCGAACGCGATGGAGGGGATCGGTTGACACGCGGGGAAATTATTGGCGGTGGTGGTTGGTTGTGGCTGGTGGTGGTTGGTGGTTGATGGTGGTGGCATCGTGGGACCGCGCCAGGGACGGCGACGGCACGGGGAGGCTTTAGTCCAGCAGTGGATAGACCAAGTCTTCTTCTTGGTTCTTTCGGTAAAGTCACGTCGAATTGAAATAATAAAATAATAAAAATAAAACATAATAAAATAATTCTCACGACGTTTCGGCCACAACGGTGGAGAACAGGTCTGTCAAGGAGACAGATGCTGTCTCCTCAACAGACCTGTTCTCCACCTGAGGACGGCTGCTTGCGTTGTGGCCGAAACGTCGTGAGAATTATTTTATTATGTTTAATTTTGATTATTTTATTATTTCCCTTCTACGCGACTTTACCGAAATAACCAAGAAGATGAATCCCTGCAGTCACGAAAGCTTTAAATCGAAATTTAGACCATAGCTGTTGCTGCTATTTATGATGATGATGATGATGATAATGATGATAGGGGGTGAAAGTGCTGAGCCGGGCTTTTTCCTTCATTGTCCGCGATGCAACGGGCAAGAGATTAATTACTGGCGAAACGTCGTGCTCAGATTGTAAATGTTGTGGCTTGGCTCTCCAACACACCGGTTAGTGCTGTACTAGTACACTACACTATACACTACACTACCATACACTACACTACTATACACTACACTATACACTACACTACTATACACTACACTATACACTACACTATACACTCCACTATACACTACACTATACACTACACTATACACTACCCTACTATACACTACACTACTATACACTACACTACTATACACTACACTACTATACACTACACTACTATACACTACAATACTATACACTACACTATGCACTACACTATACACTACACTATACATTACACTATACACTACACTATACACTACACTATATGCTACACTACACTATACACTACACTACTATACACTACACTATACACTACACTATACACTACACTACACACTAGTGCTGTACTAGTATACTACACTACACACTACACTACACACTAGTGCTGTAATAGTGACGAATTGGCCACGTTCTGTTTTACGTGACAACCCTCACTAGTTGGCTGTGTCGTGTGGTGGCGGGTTTAACGACACATTTATATATTGACGCGATCTAACCCCCCAAAAAACCCTCTATTATAGATGATATTGGTGGCGAAAGCCGAGTCCGTGTGTTAAAATGATCAAGAGAGTTCTCATTCTTTGCCGGTTGCGAAGAAGAGAGAGATATTGGGCATCCTCCGTAGAACTATAAAGACAGCGCGAAGAGATGTATTCTTCAGAGAAGCAGAGAAGCAGAGAGGGCAGAGGCGTGCATTGAGAAGAGGGAGATAATGCGGGAGGGAGATAGAAGAAAAGTGATTCAACGGTAGCTCGAATCGGAGCTTGGTCTGTTAAGAAGGCAGATATGAGAGAGAGAGAGAGCGAGAGAGAGAGGATGTGATGTGTTTAGCAGAGCGGTAGAAGAGAAGATAGCTGGGAGAGGCATCTATCTAGAAGTCAACGTGGTATGCAATCACGAGATGAGTGAGATGGAACAGGGAGATAGGAGCAATGGGATGTACCGCACCGACGTCAATGCACTTACACGCAGGCCAGCTGCTGATGCGATTGCAACGAGACAATTCTGTAAAGCGGCATGGCCGATTATTTATTCTTTCAAGAGCGTCCTCCACTTGTCCAGCTGCTGCCCCCACGCTGTGTGTTGCGAGGGGGGTGGGGGTGGTAGGGATGGTGGTAGCGGTGGAGATAGTAGTGGGGTACGGCGGCGGTGGTGGTGGTGGCGGTGGTGGTGGTGGTGGCGGTGGTGGCGGTGGTGGTGGTGTGGATGCGGTCAGCCTACCCACGGTTCAGCTAACCCGTGGCACCTGCTGGGTCTGTCCCGAGACCTCCTGTCAGCAGCCTTTGACACTTCACGTGGTAGCCTCAAGGTGCACCTGGCCTGGCACAGGCGCCGTGGTGATGTCACTTAGTGGCGAATGTCGTGGTATTGGTGCGGTGGTATTGGTGCGGTGGTATTGGTGCAGTGGTATTGGCGCGGTGGTATTGGTGCAGTGGTGGCGGTGGTATTGGCGCGGTGGTATTGCTGCGGTGGTATTGGTGCGGTGGTATTGGCGCGGTGGTATTGGTGTTGGTGGTGTCACGGTGTACAGGGCGTACCCTCTGCAGGGCGTGGGACGCGGCCCCCTCGCTGCGCAGGCGCTCCAGGTGTGCGCTGCGCGACTGGAGGTGCGAGCGGCCGCGCTGCAGGGCGAGCACGGCGCCGTCGAGGCCGTGCAGCGCGTCCAGTGTGCGGGACGCCTCTTGCTTGGCCTGCGCGGGCACAACACAACGCGGCGGGGGTTACCGTGGTGGTGGTTACCGTGGCGGGGGTTACCGTGGTGGTGGTGACCGTGGCAGGGGTTACCGTGGTGGTGGTTACTGTGGTGGTGGTTATCGTGGCGGGGGTTACCGTGGCGGGGGTTACCGTAGGGGTGGTTATCGTGGCGGGGGTTACCGTGGTGGTGGTTACCGTGGCGGGGGTTACCGTGGCGGTGGTTACCGTGGTGGTGGTTATCGGAGCGGCGGTTATCGTGGTGGTTGTTACCATGGCGGGGGTTACTGTGATGGCGGTTACCGGGGCAGGGGTTACCGTGTCGGCGGTTACCGTGACGGCGACAATCGTGGCCGCGGTTACCGGGGCAGGGGTTACCGTGTCGGCGGTTACTGTGACGGCGATAATCGTGGCCGCGGTTACCGTGGCAGGGGTTACCGTCTTGGCGGTTACCGGGTCGGGGGTTACCGTAGCGGCGGTTTTTGTTTTTCCGCCAGCGGTCGACGTTTCTCCTGATCCATAAAAAAAACTTCTTTTTTTCGGCAATGATCTGGCCAAATGTGCGTCGTGTAACCCGTCCACCACCCGACAGAGCAGCCCAAGTTCAGACGTCGCGCGGCGCGTAAGCGTTTAGCGACGAGCCAATTATTCCCGATGCAGCTCGACGGGAAGGCGAAGAGCGACCGCGAGGTTTTCCGTCGTGACAATTGTTCCGCAACTCGAGCGTCGAGCTGAAGAAAAACGGTATAAATTGGTGTTCTTGGTTCTTTCGGTAAAGTCACGTAGATGGAAAATTAAAATTAAATATAAATTGGGTCACGTGACAGACACGTGGCCGTAAAAATCGATCACGGATCGGCGTTTTTATCATCGGCTTTAAAAAACAAGATCCATGCTGCTACGCACATAACACATTGCTCACATATCCACACTGCGTAGCGATACGCTGGCGACATGTTTTATCCTTCGCCCGGTACACAGGAGCACATGGGTTCGATCCGGTCCGTGGCCGATGCCTGTTGTGATGGCCACGTGGATCGTTCTCTGGGTCCCTCTGCCTTTGCCGCCCTCGAAATCTAGAATCAACTCGCGTTGAGATCATTCGGCCGCTACTGTGAATTCCCGCGCGCTATGGCAGTCATTCCATCGGCCACTGCGATGATGATGGTGGTCAGCTGTCATCGTCATCATCATCGCGCGTGGCCACGTCGCCTCTGAAATAAACTTATAGCTCAGTGGGGGGGAGGGAGGGGGGGGGAGAGGGTGGGACGGAAGCGGGGAGGGAGAGGGGGGAGGGGGGAAAGGGGGGAGGAGGGGGAGGAAGAGGGGGGAGAGAGAGAGGGGGAGGGGGGAGGGAGAGGGGGAGGAGGTGGAAGGAGTGGGGAGGGGGAAAGGGGGGAGTTTGGGAGGGGGAGAGGGGGGAGGAGGGGGGAGGAGGGGGGAGGGGAGAGGGGAGAGAGGGGGAGAGGGGGGGGGAAGTGGGAAGGTGGCAAAGGGGGGAGGAGGAGAGGGGGAGGGAGAGGGGGGAGGGAGAGGGGGGAGGAGGAGGCGGGAAGAGGGGGCAAAGGGGGGAGTTTGGGAGGGGGGGAGGGGGAGAAGGGGGAGAGGGGTGGGAGAGGGGGAGGGGAGAGAGGAGGAGAGGGGGGAAGTGGGGAGGGGGCAAAGGGGGGTGAGGGTGAGGGGGTGAGGAGTGCTCCATGCTGCTGGTGTGGGTGGTGTTGGTGTTGACCTGTCTCTGGGTGCGCCCGTGGCTCTCCGCGTGCGCCGCCACCGCGCGCGCCGCCTCGTGCAGGCGCCGCGCCAGCTGCAGGTGGCAGGCGCCCTGCTTGTCGCCCAGCGCTCGCAGGGAGCCCCAGAGCGGCACCAGCGGCCTGGCGCGCAACACCACCACGACGACGGTGGTGGTGGTGGTGGTGATGATGGTGATCATTAGGATGATGATGATCATTATGATGATGATGGTGATCATTAGGATGATGACGATGGTGATGATGACGATGATGGTGATCATTAGGATGATGACGATGACGGTGATCATTACGATGATGATGACGATGACGATGGTGATGATAACAATCAGGACGATGATGGGAAAAAGACATTGATGGATTGATGATGATAACAACGATGACAGCGACAATGATGACGATGGTGATGATGACAATGATGGTGACGATGATGACGATGGTAATGATGGCAATGATGATGATGGTGACGGTGATGATGATGACGATGATGTAACAGCAAGAACAAGAACGACAATGATGATAATGGACAACAAGAGTGATGATGGTTACATCAATAATGGCAACAATCATAGGGACAGCAAGAACAACAACAGACACGACAACAATGACTGCGGCAACAGCTATAACCACAACAGCAGAGATAACAGCAATCAACATCGCAATCAAAGTTTTGTTTCCGTCCCACTCTGAGCCGTGGTATTTTACGATGAACGCGCCCGCAGTATTTACCAGGGTGGCCGTGGGCTCACATCGGCCGTGTCGCCGCCACAATTGTGCGATGTCGCCAAGTTCTCGCTTCTAAACGAGTGGTGGCGGCGGTGGTTACGTCACATCGGGGTTCGCTGTGACTCGGTTCGTCCATTGGGGGGACACTTTTCGCACGAGGAACGCGAGCGGAACGCAAGCCCCGTTATAACGCGGAACACAAGCCCCGTTATAACGCGGAACGCAAGCCCCGTTATAACGCAGAACGCAAGCTCTGTTATAACGCGGAACGCAAGCCCCGTTATAACGCGGAACGCAAGCTCTGTTATAACGCGGAACACAAGCCCCGTTATAACGCGGAACGCAAGCTCTGTTATAACGCGGAACACAAGCCCCGTTATAACGCGGAACGCAAGCTCTGTTATAACGCGGAACACAAGCCCCGTTATAACGCGGAACGCAAGCTCTGTTATAACGCGGAACACAAGCCCCGTTATAACGCGGAACGCAAGCTCTGTTATAACGCGGAACGCAAGCTCTGTTATAACACAGAACGCAAGCTCTGTTATAACGCGGAACGCAAGCTCTGCTATAACGCGGAACGCAAGCTCTGTTATAACGCAGAACGCGAGCTCTGTTATAACACAAAACGTGAGCTCTGTTATAACAGAGAACGTGAGCTCTGTTATAACACAGAACGCAAGCTCTGTTATAACGCAGAACGCAAGCTCTGTTATAACAGAGAACGTGAGCTCTGTTATAGCACAGAACGCAAGCTCTGTTATAACACAGAACGCAAGCTCTGTTATAACAGAGAACGTGAGCTCTGTTATAACACAGAACGCAAGCTCTGTTATAACACAGAACGCAAGCTCTGTTATAACAGAACGTGAGCCCTGGTATAACGCAGAACGTGAGCTCTGTTATAAAGATGAATGCAAGCCCCGTTATAACGCGGAATGCAAGCCCCGTTATAACACAGAACGAGAGCCCCGTTATAACGCAGAACGCGAGCTCTGTTATAACAGAGAACGTGAGCTCTGTTATAACATAGAACGCAAGCTCTGTTATAACAGAACGTGAGCCCTGGTATAACGCAGAACGTGAGCTCTGTTATAAAGATGAATGCAAGCCCCGTTATAACGCGGAATGCAAGCCCCGTTATATCACAGAACGAGAGCCCCGTTATAACGCAGAACGCGAGCTCTGTTATAACAGAGAACGTGAGCTCTGTTATAACACAGAACGCAAGCTCTGTTATAACACAGAACGTGAGCTCTGTTATAAAGAGGAATGCAAGCCCTGTTATAACACAGAAGGCAAGCCCCGTTATAACACATAACGTGAGCTCTGTTATAACACAGAACGAGAGCCCCGTTATAACGCGGTTTCTGAGCGGTCGACGACGAAACTACTTTCTTGAGCTGCGCGACTTGGCGGAGTGATACATTAACGCGGAGTGATACAGTGACGCGGCAGTGTGCGTAGTGGTGTGTGTATCGTATCTCCCCGCTCACGGCCAACACCACCAGGGGGTGCCACCCCCCCCCCCAACAGTCTACACGGGGGATCTTCGCCTTTGGCATTTTGTCAGTGACGCGGCTGTCACGCTGAAGCTGTGCCCACCAAAACCGAGCGGCTCGAACAAATCCGACCTCTTCTTGGTTCTTTCGGTAAAGTCACGTAGAAGGGAAATAATAAAATAATAAAAATAAAACATAATAAAATAAGTATATTTTACTTTATTATTATTTTATTATATAAGATTATTTTATTATGTTTTATTTTTTATTATTTTATGATTTCCCTTCTACGTGACTTTACCGAAAGAACCACCAAGAAGATGAATCCCTGCAGTCACGAAAGCTTTAAATCGAAATTTAAATCCGACCTCGAGACTCACGCGGTCCCCGGCCGCGAACACCGCGCGCTCACCCCGTGTGGTTGTTGATCGCGGCCATGCGAGACAACTTGCTGTGCAACTTGGAGCAGGACTCTTCCACTAGAGCCCTGGGGGGGGGGGGGGGAGGAGTGGGGGGGGGGGGAGTGGGGGGAGGAGTGGGGGGGGGTGGTGGAGGATGGAGTGGGGGGTGGGGGGGTGGAGTGGGGGGGGTGGAGGATGGAGTGGGGGGGGGGATGGAGGGGGGGTGGAGTGGGGGGGGGGTGGAGGATGGAGTGGGGGGGGGGATGGAGGGGGGGTGGAGTGGGGGGGGGGGTGGAGGATGGAGTGGGGGGGGGGATGGAGGGGGGGTGGAGTGGGGGGGGGTGGAGGATGGAGTGGGGGGGGGGGATGGAGGGGGGGTGGAGTGGGGGGGGGGTGGAGGATGGAGTGGGGGGGGGGATGGAGGGGGAGTGGAGTGGGGGGGGGGGTGGAGGATGGAGTGGGGGGGGGGGATGGAGGGGGGGGTGGAGTGGGGGGGTGGTGGAGGATGGAGTGGGGGGGGATATTAAGAGAACCGTCGATGCAAGTTCACTGTGGAGGTGAAGGCGCATCCCTGCAACGGCCTGCACACACACCTGCTGCACACACACCTGCTGCACACACACCTGCTCACACACACCTGTTGCACACACACCTGCTGCACACACACCTGCTGCACACACACCTGCTGCACACACACACCTGCTGCACACACACACCTGCTGCACACACACCTGCCGCTCACACACCTGCTGCACACACACCTGCTGCTCACACACCTGCCGCTCACACACCTGCTGCTCACACACCTGCCGCTCACACACCTGCTGCTCACACACCTGCCGCTCGCACACCTGCCGCTCTCACACCTGCCGCTCGCACACCTGCCGCTCACACACCTGCACACACACACCTGCTGCTCACACACCTGCTGCACACACACCTGCTGCACACACACCTGCTGCACACACACCTGCTGCACACACACCTGCTGCTCACACACCTGCTGCACACAAACACCTGCTGCTCACACACACCTGCTACTCACACACCTGCTGCTCACCACACACCTGCTGCACACACACCTGCTGCTCACACACACACCTGCTGCTCACACACACCTGCTACACACACACCTGCTGCTCACACACACACCTGCTGCACACACACCTGCTGCACACACACACCTGCTGCTCACACACACCTGCTACTCACACACCTGCTGCTCACACACACACCTGCTGCACACACACCTGCTACTCACACACCTGCTGCTCACACACACACCTGCTACTCACACACCTGCTGCTCACACACACCTGCTACTCACACACCTGCTGCTCACACACACACCTGCTGCACACACACCTGCTGCACACACACACCTGCTGCTCACACACACCTGCTACTCACACACCTGCTGCTCACACACACACCTGCTGCACACACACCTGCTGCACACACACACCTGCTGCTCACACACACCTGCTACTTACACACCTGCTGCTCACACACACACCTGCTACTCACACACCTGCTGCTCACACACCTGCTGCACACACACCTGCTGCTCACACACCTGCTGCACACACACCTGCCGCTCACACACCTGCTGCTCACACACCTGCTGCACACACACCTGCTGCTCACACACCTGCTGCTCACACACACCTGCTGCACACACACCTGCTGCTCACACACACCTGCTGCTCACACACACCTGCTGCTCACACACCTGCTGCTCACACACACCTGCTGCTCACACACACCTACTGCTCACACACCTGCTGCTCACACACACCTGCTGCACACACACCTGCTGCTCACACACACCTGCTGCACACACACCTGCTCACACACACCTGCTGCACACACACCTGCTGCACACACACCTGCTGCTCACACACACCTGCTGCTCACACACACCTGCTGCACACACACCTGCTGCTCACACACCTGCTGCACACACACCTGCTGGCGAACGGGCCTCCACTGGATGGAGCTCAATAACGCGCCTCCACTCCCCCCTCCTCACCGCCCCTGAGGAGTATTTGGCCTACTCTTCCCCCTGTATGCTTCCGCACCACTGAATCCACGCGAACGGGTTCAGTGTCGGCTTGTCCTACGAGCTTCTAGGCGTGAGGTCCGACGTTCTGCTCCATATGCTGATTCAGTTCCTGGCTTTGCACCCCCCCCCTCCCACTTCTCACCACCACCCACCTCAGCGCGTGCAGCGAGTTCGACGTTTCGCTGCACGAACCAAACACAACCCCGAGAGAGCTGAGCGGCGAGTTCCTGGTGATTCTGGCATGGAGCGGTGGCACAGCGGTTAGCGCGCTGCGCTAACGAACCCCGGCCACCCGAGTTCGATTCCCGCTCACGGCTATTAAGGAATGGAAAATATTTGAATCGGAGCTGGGGCCTCCCCTAGGTCTGCTCGGCCTTCAATTAATACCCAGTGCGGTGTGTACACGTCAGCACTGGGGAGACAAAGGCGGCCTGGGATAACGTTGTTCGGCATCCAAAACAAAACCCTTTCACGTTGCTGGGCCGCCCTTTAAAGATGCTCGCGAACAGCACTTGCCCCAACAGTCTGCTGAAGGCTATATGGGGAACTTGGTCTTTTGTTGTGCATACGACTGGCTGCATGGAAAATCCTCCCACAGCCTTCACAAGCGGAAATGCTACGAATGACCACGATGCAGACCAACGACCACATAGCAGCGAACTACTGTGACCTCTATGCGTGTCTACGGGTCTCTGTGTGTGATCACATAGCAATTAATCACTGTGACCTATATGCGTGTCGATGGGTCTCTGTGTGATCACATAACAATGAACCACTGTGACCTCTATGGGTGTCTACGGGTCTCTGTGTGTGATCACATAGCATTGAACCACTGTGACCTCTATGGGTGTCGATGGGTCTCTGTGTGATCACATAGCAATGAACCACTGTGACCTCTATGGGTGTCTATGGGTCTCTATGTGTGATCACATCGCAGTGAACCACTGTGAACTCTATGCGTGTCTACGGGTCTCTGTGTGTGATCACATAGCAATGAACCACTGTGGACTCTATGCGTGTCTACGGGTCTCTATGTGAAGCCACATAACATTGAACCACTGTGAACTCTATGCGTGTCTACGGGTCTCTGTGTGTGATCACATAGCAATGAACCACTGTGGACTCTATGCGTGTCTACGGGTCTCTATGTGAAGCCACATAACATTGAACCACTGTGAACTCTATGCGTGTCTACGGGTCTCTGTGTGTGATCACATAACAATGAACCACTGTGACCTCTATGGGTGTCTACGGGTCTCTATGTGTGATCACATAACAATGAACCACTGTGAGCTCTATGGGTGCCTACGGGTCTCTGTGTGTGATCACATAGCAATGAACCACTGTGACCTCTATGAGTGTCTACGGGTCTCTGTGTGTGATCACATAGCATTGAACAACTGTGAACTCTATGAGTGTCTATGGGTCTCTGTGTGTGATCACATAGCAATGAACCACTGTGACCTCTATGAGTGTCTATGGGTCTCTGTGTGTGATCACATAGCAATGAACAACTGTGACCTCTATGAGTGTCTATGGGTCTCTGTGTGTGATCACATAGCATTGAACAACTGTGAACTCTATGAGTGTCTATGGGTCTCTGTGTGTGATCACATAGCAATGAACAACTGTGACCTCTATGAGTGTCTATGGGTCTCTGTGTGTGATCACATAACAATGAACCACTGTGAACTCTATGGGTGTCTATGGGTCTCTATGTGTGATCACATAGCATTGAACCACTGTGACCTCTATGAGTGTCTACGGGTCTCTGTGTGTGATCACATAGCAATGAACCACTGTGACCTCTATGAGTGTCTACGGGTCTCTGTGTGTGATCACATAACAATGAACCACTGTGAACTCTATGCGTGTCTACGGGTCTCTGTGTGTGATCACATAGCAATGAACCACTGTGAACTCTATGGGTGTCTACGGGTCTCTGTGTGTGATCACATAGCAATGAACCACTGTGAACTCTATGGGTGTCTACGGGTCTCTGTGTGTGATCACATAGCAATGAACCACTGTGAACTCTATGGGTGTCTACGGGTCTCTGTGTGTGATCACATAACATTGAACCACTGTGACCTCTATGAGTGTCTACGGGTCTCTGTGTGTGATCACATAGCAATGAACCACTGTGACCTCTATGGGTGTCTATGGGTCTCTATGTGTGATCACATAGCAATGAACCACTGTGAACTCTATGGGTGTCTATGGGTCTCTGTGTGTGATCACATAGCATTGAACCACTGTGACCTCTATGGGTGTCTATGGGTCTCTATGTGTGATCACATAGCAATGAACCACTGTGAACTCTATGGGTGTCTATGGGTCTCTGTGTGTGATCACATAGCATTGAACCACTGTGACCTCTATGGGTGTCTATGGGTCTCTGTGTGTGATGACATAGCAATGAACCACTGTGACCTCTATGAGTGTCTACGGGTCTCTGTGTGTGATCACATAGCAATGAACCACTGTGACCTCTATGGGTGTCTACGGGTCTCTGTGTGTGATCACATAGCATTGAACAACTGTGAACTCTATGAGTGTCTATGGGTCTCTGTGTGTGATCACATAACATTGAACCACTGTGACCTCTATGGGTGTCTATGGGTCTCTGTGTGTGATCACATAGCAATGAACCACTGTGACCTCTATGGGTGTCTATGGGTCTCTGTGTGTGATCACATAGCAATGAACCACTGTGACCTCTATGAGTGTCTACGGGTCTCTGTGTGTGATCACATAGCAATGAACAACTGTGACCTCTATGAGTGTCTATGGGTCTCTGTGTGTGATCACATAGCAATGAACAACTGTGACCTCTATGAGTGTCTATGGGTCTCTGTGTGTGATCACATAGCAATGAACAACTGTGACCTCTATGAGTGTCTATGGGTCTCTGTGTGTGATCACATAGCAATGAACAACTGTGACCTCTATGAGTGTCTATGGGTCTCTGTGTGTGATCACATAACAGTGAACCACAGTGAACTCTATGGGTGTCTACGGGTCTCTGTGTGTGATCACATAACAATGAACCACAGTGAACTCTATGGGTGTCTACGGGTCTCTGTGTGTGATCACATAACAATGAACCACAGTGAACTCTATGAGTGTCTATGGGTCTATGTGTGAGGCCACAGCAGTGAAGTCCAGAACCAGACCGAGTTTCCCTCCTCACACAGTCCTGTGAGACGGGGGGGGGGGGAGCCTGAGAGGCGATTGGAGCTCCCGGCAACTGGTAGCAGTGGAGGCAGTCGTGTTAATGTCGCCCTCTGTGATGGAGGTTCCGTCTACAGCAACGAGGGGCGGTGGTTTTTGTCTCTGTGTGTGTGTCTGTTCGTCTCTCTGTGTGTGTGTGTGTTCGTCTCTGTGTGTGTGTGTTCGTCTCTGTGTCTCTGTGTGTGTCTGTTCGTCTCTGTGTGTGTGTGTGTTCATCTCTGTGTGTGTGTCTGTTCGTCTCTGTGTCTGTGTGTGTGTCTCTGTTCGTCTCTCTGTGTGTGTCTGTTTGTTTGTGTGTCTGTTCGTCTCTGTGCCTGTAAGTCTCTGTGTGTGTCTGTTTGTCTGTGTGTGTGTCTGTTCGTCTCTGTGTGTGTGTCTGTTCGTCTCTGTGTGTGTGTGTGTCTGTTCGTCTCTGTGTGTGTGTGTCTGTTCGTCTCTGTGTCTCTGTGTGTCTGTTAGTCTCTGTGTGTGTGTGTTCATCTCTGTGTGTGTGTCTGTTAGTCTCTGTGTCTGTGTGTGTGTCTCTGTTCGTCTCTCTGTGTCTGTTTGTTTGTGTGTCTGTTCGTCTCTGTGCCTGTAAGTCTCTGTGTGTGTCTGTCTGTGTGTGTCTGTTCGTCTCTGTGTCTCTGTGTGTGTGTGTCTGTTCGTCTCTGTGTCTGTGTGTGTGTATGTTCGTCTCTGTGTGTGTGTCTGTTCGTCTCTGTGTCTGTGTGTGTGTGTCTGTTCGTCTCTCTGTGTGTGTCTCTTCATCTCGCGTGAGTTTGCTGTGTTTGGTGAGTGTGGGGGGCTGGGGGGTTGGACTGGAGGGGAGGCGGGTGGGGGGGGGGCTGGGGGGGCGGGGATGGGGGGACTGGGGAGGGGAGGGGGAGCTGGGGGCTGGGGGGCGGGGGTGGGGAGACTGAGGGGGGGGGAGCTGGGGGGTTGGGGGGGGGGCTCTCACCTCTCCCGGAGCAGCTCAGAGAGGTCACGGCCATCCCCGTGAGCGGCTCGCATGTTCAAGTAGAGGCCCTCAAATCCCAGGTGCCGCTCTCCCTGGGTGGATGTTACACAAAGAGGGTGGGGGGGGGGGACAGAGGCGGTGCCGGTTAGCACGGCTGTGCTACGTACGGTGCGAAAGAAGTTCAACATAGACACACAAACATACACTTTTTTTTTATTTGACCAGGTGAGGCTGCACTGAGCTACGACTTGGCCACCACAAATGATCGCTCAACAAAGTGGCGAATCATCATCACGTGGATATTCAAAGCAGCCAAATACTCCAAACGTGCGCTGTTGATTATAAAAGTGGAGGGAGAAACCGGAGGACCCGGAGAAAAATCCACGCGACCAGTGGGAGAGAGACACGCAAACTTCACATATACAGCAGCAGGCGTCAGGGTCGGGATCGGACCCACAACCTCCTGTAGACCAGGCGAGAGAGTTAACATCTCGCCACCGTATTAACCAGGGATAGCCGCTGGATCGAACCGCGAACCTCTGCAGCAAGCGGCGGACCCGCAAAGCGCCAGGTCCACCGTCACCACCATTACCAACACCACTACTACCACCACCGTCACCACCATTACCACCACCACTACCACCACTACCACTACCACCACCACCGTCACCACCACTACCACCACTACCACCACCGTCACCACCATTACCACCACCACCACTACCACCACCACTACCACCACTACCACCACTACCGTCACCACCACTACCACCACCGTCATCACCACTTCCACTACCACCACCGTCACCACTACCGTCACCACCACTACCACCACCACTACCACCACCACTACCACCACCACTACCACCTCTACCACCACCGTCACCCGTCACCACCACCGTCACCACCACTACCATCACCACTACCACCACCACCACTACCACCACCGTCACCACCACTACCACCACCGTCACCACCACCACCACCACACAACTACAGTGCCCCCCCCCTCTCCTTCTTGCATGAGCACCTCCCCCTGCGCCATACTTCACCGCGCTGGTGATCGCGCACCACGTGACACCGGCCACCGTGACACCGGCCACCGTGACACCGGCCACCGTGACACCGGCCACCGTGACACCGGCCACTGTGACACCGCCCCACGGAATTCCCGAAGGTGGTACTGCGTTACACACACAAGACGAAGATCCCCCGTGTAGCCTTAACAGGCTGTTGGGGCAAGTGCTGTTCACGAGCACCTTTGAAGGCCGGCACGGCACACGAGGGGTTGGGTGGTCAGCAACCACGCCCGGCCACCTTTGTCTCCCCAGTGGCGATACTTACACACTCATTTGAGGCTGAGTCAACCTAGGGGAGGCCCAGGACAGGTTAAAACAATCGTCACCGGTGTTGGCCGTGAGCGGGAATCGAACCAGGGTCGCCAGGTTCGTAGGGCAGCGTGCTCCCCACAAACACACACGCAAATGTAACATTGCGATAACAACTATGATTGACGGTGGTGGTGGTGGTGGTGCAGGTGGTAACAGAGTAATTGTCTTCACGATGGTGCGAGCGGTGATGATGATGGTGCTCATGAATCTATGGTAACATTAGGAAGCGTTGGTAATTACCATTATCTGGATCATGGTCGTGGTGGTGATGACGGTGATGATGAAGACGACGGCGATGATGAAGACGACAATGCGTGTGAATCACAACACAAACTCACCTCCCCAAGTTTCCTCGTCAGACTCGGGAACATGATCGATCAGGCGGCAGACACGGCCATGGACACACACAGGTGACTCCCGTCTCACACACACAGGTAAGTCCCGTCTCACACACACAGGTAAGTCCCGTCTCACACACACAGGTGAGTCCCGACTCACACACACAGGTAAGTCCCGACTCACACACAGGTAAGCCCCGTCTCACACACACAGGTGACTCCCGACTCACACACACAGGTAAGTCCCGACTCACACAGGTAAGCCCCGTCTCACACATACAGGTAAGTCCCGACTCACACACACACAGGTAAGTCCCGACTCACACACAGGTAAGTCCCGACTCACACACAGGTAAATCCCGACTCACACACAGGTAAGCTCCGCCTCACACACACAGGTAAGTCCCGACTCACACACACAGGTAAGCCCCGTCTCACACACCCAGGTGACTCCCGACTCACACACAGGTAAGCTCCGTATCACACAGGTAAGCTCCGTCTCACACACAGGTAAGTCCCGTCTCACACACACAGGTGACTCCCGACTCACATACAGGTAAGCTCCGTCTCACACGCAGGTGCGTGAGGGTGCCGGTCTACCGACGAACGCGCGCCACCAAACACCTCAAGTTAAATATTCACCCGCGCGTAGCAACCGCGACCTTGATAAAACATTTTTTTTAAACAACCTACAACGTTATAACTTTGTCTATTTCGTGACGCCGCGAAATGAGCGTCGTTTGTGGCCTTTCCCCCCCGACCACACGCGTGCTTTCACCCATTTGTGAGCGCGGCCGCTTTCTGCCAAGTGGCATAAGGACTCAAGTTTCTCTCCCGCTCCGATCCCCTGCCTCCTTTCTCCGCACCTCCCATCGCACCCCCCCCCCCCCCCCACCGCGGCTCCCAACCCAAGGCCACGGTGGTGACGGCGAGGAGCAAACGAGCAAGCAAAGATAACAAATCTCGTGCCCCAAGTAATCCAAGGGGCACACAAAACTTATCTTAAATTCAGATCCTTTTATATATAAAAAAAAACTGTAAAAAAAAATCTCATCACTCTATTATATGAACACGATTAAAAGCAGAGCTGTACATCCATTTGCTTGGTTCTTTCGGTAAAGTCACGTAGAAGGGAAATAATAAAATAATAAAATAAAACATAATAAAAGAATTCTCACGACGTTTCGGCCACAACGCAAGCAGCCGAAACGTCGTGAGAATTATTTTATAATGTTTTATTTCATTATTTTATTATTTCCATTCTCCGTGGCTTTACCGATAGAACCAAGAAGATGAATCCCTGCAGTCACGAAAGCTTTAAATCGAAATGTACATTCCTTGTTTCTATCATTGAGGGCTAGGGAACGAGTTTGCCCGCCGAGGAGATGGAGCGACGGAATGCGGCCGGATTGTTAATGTCGCAGAACCGCGGGGGGGGGGGGGCTTCATCCAGCAGTGGAGTGACCCCGAGGACCATGACCCCGAAGAGTGATTGTAGCTGCACAGTCATCCAACATCGTGATCATTACACACCACTGCGATCGTGCGTCACACACAATGTGTGTGGTCACGTGAAACGCTCAATTTCGTTAATTGCTTCGGGTCCCGTCCCCCCTCCCCCCCAAATGGGCCATCACTGCCACCAGGTCACACACGAGGCAGGAGCAGTCACGTGTGTGTGTATGTGGGCGCCGCGGTGGCGAAATGTTTACTACCTTGCCCGGTATACAGGAGGGCGTGGGTTCGATCCCGACCCTGACGACGCCTGCCGCTGTAGATTTGGAGTTTGGTGTGTCTCTCTCTCGGTGTGTCTCTCTCTCGGTGTGTCTCTCTCGGTGTGTGTCTCTCTCGGTGTGTGTCTCTCTCGGTGTGTGTCTCTCTCGGTGTGTGTCTCTCTCGGTGTGTGTCTCTCGGTGTGTCTCTCTCGGTTGTGTCTCTCTCGGTGTGTGTCTCTCTCGGTGTGTGTCTCTCTCGGTGTGTGTCTCTCTCGGTGTGTGTCTCTCTCGGTGTGTGTCTCTCTCGGTGTGTCTCTCTCGGTGTGTGTCTCTCGGTGTGTCTCTCTCTCGGTGTGTCTCTCTCTCGGTGTGTCTCTCTCTCGGTGTGTCTCTCTCTCGGTGTGTCTCTCTCGGTGTGTGTCTCTCTCGGTGTGTGTCTCTCTCGGTGTGTGTCTCTCTCGGTGTGTGTCTCTCTCGGGTGTGTCTCTCTCGGTGTGTGTCTCTCTCGGTGTGTGTCCTCTCTCGGTGTGTGTCTCTCTCGGTGTGTGTCTCTCTCGGTGTGTGTCTCTCTCGGTGTGTGTCTCTCTCGGTGTGTCTCTCTCGGTGTGTGTCTCTCTCGGTGTGTGTCTCTCTTCGGTGTGTGTCTCTCGGTGTGTGTCCTCTCTCGGTGTGTCTCTCTCTCGGTGTGTGTCTCTCTCGGTGTGTGTCTCTCTCGGTGGTGTCCTCTCGGTGTGTGTCTCTCTCGGTGTGTGTCCTCTCTCGGTGTGTGTCTCTCTCGGTGTGTGTCTCTCTCGTGTGTGTCTCTCTCGGTGTGTCTCTCTCGGTGTGTCTCTCTCGGTGTGTGTCTCTCTCGGTGTGTCTCTCTCGGTGTGTGTCTCTCTCGTGTGTCTCTCTCGGTGTGTGTCTCTCTCGGTGTGTCTCTCTCTCGGTGTGTGTCTCTCTCGGTGTGTGTCTCTCTCGGTGTGTCTCTCTCGGTGTGTGTCTCTCTCGGTGTGTGTCTCTCTCGGTGTGTGTTCTCTCGGTGTGTCTCTCTCGGGTGTGTGTCTCTCTCGGTGTGTCTCTCTCGGTGTGTGTCTCTCTCGGTGTGTCTCTCTCGTGTGGTCTCTCTCGGTGTGTCTCTCTCGGGTGTCTCTCTCGGTGTTGTCTCTCGGTGTGTCTCTCTCTCGGTCTCTCTCTCTCTCGGTGTGTGTCTCTCTCGGTGTGTCTCTCTCTCGGTGTGTGTCTCTCGGTTGTGTCTCTCGGTGTGTGTCTCTCTCGGTGTGTCTCTCTCGGTGTGTGTCTCTCTCGGTGTGTGTCTCTCTCGGTGTGTGTCTCTCTCGGTGTGTGTCTCTCTCGGTGTGTCTCTCTCGGTGTGTGTCTCTCTCGGTGAGTGTCTCTCGGTGTGTCTCTCTCTCGGTCTCTCTCTCTCTCGGTGTGTCTCTCTCGGTGTGTGTCTCTCTCGGTGTGTCTCTCTCTCTCGGTGTGTGTCTCTCTCGGTGTGTCTCTCTCGGTGTGTGTCTCTCTCGGTGTGTCTCTCTCGGTGTGTCTCTCTCTCTCGGTGTGTGTCTCTCTCGGTGTGTGTCTCTCTCGGTGTGTCTCTCTCGGTGTGTCTCTCTCGGTGTGTGTCTCTCTCGGTGTGTGTCTCTCTCGGTGTGTCTCTCTCTCGGTG